TTAGGATGTCTATTATAAAAAGACAATAACAGATGCTGGAGAGGATGTAGAGAATTGGGAACCCTTGAACACAGTCAGTGGGAATATAAACTGGTATAGCCATTATGAAACTAGTATTAAGGCTCCTCAAGAAATTAAAAATGGAACTACCATATGATCCAGAAATCTCACTTCACTCCAAATGAAATGATTACCTCAAAGAGATATCTATACTTCTTTGTTCATTGCAGCATTATAATAACCGTGGTATGAAAACAACCTAAGTGTTCATCAATGGATGGACAAAGAAGATGTGGCATACATATACACAATGGTATAATATTCTATATTAATAATCTAATCTAATAAAAGACAAACATGCAAATTGACCGTACCTTCGCTATGCCTTAAGGCATGCCCACCAGTCAATCAGAGCGACTATATCCAAATAAAGCCAACCAAGATGGCGGCCGGCAGCCACGTAGCTGGAGCAAGCAGAAGGCTTGGTTGCTCCAGTGATGGAGGAAGCCAAGCTTCCCGCCTGCCCTGGCTGGCTCTGAGCTCCACTCAAAGCAACAAAGTTTCAATGATTAGAAGATAAATAAACCCCAGATACCTGCTTTCAGTCGGCCATGGCCACAGAACTGGAGCGAGTATGAGGCTTGGGTTGCCCCTGGCGATGGAGGAAGCCAAGCTTCTTGTCCGCCCTGCCCAGCTCTTAGCTCCACTAAAGGCTACAAAGTTTCAATTATAGAAGGTAAATAAATCTCAGAATAAAAAGAAAAAAAGGAGAGGCTGGGAGCTTCCATCATCAGGGGGGCTTGGCCAGCCTGAAAACAGCCCTCATCCCCTCACCCAGACTGGCCAGGCACCCCAGTGGGAACCTCCACCCTGAAGGAGGTGTGACCAGCTGTAAACACCCATCAGCCCCTCACCCAGGCTGGCCAGGCACCCCAGTGGGGACCCCCACTCTGATCTGGGACACCCTTCAGGGCAAACCAGATGGCCTCCACCCGTGCACCAGGCCTCTATCCTATATAGTAAAAGGGTAATATGCAAACTGACCCTAACAGCAGAAAGACTGGGAATGACTGGTCACTATGACACACACTAAGCACCAGGGGGCAGACGCTCAATGCAGGAGCTGCCCCCTGGTGGTCAGTGCGCTCCCACAGGGGGAGCTCTGCTCAGCCACAAGCAAGGCTGATGGCTGCCAGTACAGCAGTGGTGGTGGGAGCCTCTCCCACCTTCTCAGCAGTGCTAAGGATATCTGACTGCAGCTTAGGCCTGCTCCCCGCTGGCAAGTGGACATCCCCTGAGGGCTCCCGGGCTGCAAGAGGGATGTCTGATTGCCAGCTTAGGCCCAATCCCTCGGGGAGTGGGCCTAAGCCAGCAGGTGGTCATCCCCCAAGGGGTCCCAGACCGCGAGAGGGCACAGGCCAGGCTGAGGGACCCCCTCCCACAAGTTCACAAATTTTTGTGTACTGGGCCTCTAGTAATAATAATAAGATGATAACATGGATGAACCTTCAGGGAATTATGCTAAATGAAATAAGTCAGACAAAGACTTATTTGTGATATAATTTATATGTGGTCATAAAAACAAAGAGTAGAATGGTAGCTCCTAGGAGTTAGGAGGTGGGAGAAAATGGAGATGTTGGTTAAAGGGTACAACTCCCAGTTATAAAATGAACTAGAGGCCCAGTGCACATAAATTTGTGCACTTGGTGGGGAGGGTCCCTCAGCCCAGCCTGTGCCCATTCACAGTCCAGGACCCCTTGGGGGATGTCCACCTGTCGACTTAGGCTCACTCCCCGTGGCTAAGCTTGCAGTCAGACATCCTTCTTGCAGCCAGGGATCCCTTGGGGGATGTCTGTCTAAAGGCTTAGGCCCCCAAGGGATCGGGTCTAAACCGTTAGTTGGACATTCTTAGTGCTGCCACGGAAGTGGGAGAGGCTCCTGCCACCACCTCTGTGCTGGCCAGCCATGAGCCAGCTTTTGGCTGAGTGGCACTCCCCATATGGAAGTGCACTGACCACCAGGGGCAGCTCCTGCATTGAGTGTCTGCCCACTGGTGGCCAGTGGCATCATAGCAACCGGTCATTCTGCCGTTCAGTCAATGTGCATATTAGCCTTTTATTATTATTATATAGGATGTCTCTATTTCCCCCCATTTGCCCCCTCCACCCAGCTCTTGCCCCCCACTTCTCTCTGGCCATCACCATACTGTTATCTGTATCCATGGGTTGTGCATATATTTTCTTTGGCTAATCCCTTCTTTAAATTCACTTCTTTAAATTTTTATTTTCAGATAAGTGCTTATAACTGCACTATTATATATTTTCTATTATATCATTTAGAATTAAGATATTTTTTAATTGAACCATTGAAAATTTTAGCACAATTTAATAAATTATGCTAGAAGCAATTAGGAGATTTTTCATGTAATGCTGACACATTTCAATTAATATTTTATTAATTTTTAGTTTTTTAATAATTTAATTTGAAATAATCTCATACATGTAAAAAAACTATAAAATACTACAGCATATTATATGTACCCTTCATCCAATTTCATAGGTGTTAATAATTTAAACATAACCATTATACAACTAAGAAACAAAATTTGGAATATATTTTTCTTATAATCTCTTTAATGTTACTTAATCCATTTACTTTGTTTTTGTTAATCTTCACCCAAGGATATTTTTCCATTGAATTTTAGAGAGAGTGAAGGGAAAGGGAGAGACACATTGATTGGTTGCCTCTTGCACATGCTTTGATAGGGACTGGGGATCAAGCCAGCAACTGAGGTACATGCCCTTGACTGGAATCGAACCTGGGACACTTCAGTCCACGGGCTAATGCTCTATCCACTGAGCAAAACAGGCTGCAGCTTAATTCATTTAATTTTAATCTATATGTTTCTTTATATTTTAAAGTGTTTTTTTTTTTTGATTCACTCTCATAATCTGTCTTTTAATTGGTACATTTATGCCACTGACTTTCAGAGTTTCTACCATATCAGGTGGCTGCTGGGGCTTCTGGGGCGGGCCTGCCCTGAATGGCGGCATGCTGGCAGCTCACGCTGTCCCGCCCTGCCTGCAGTATGCAAGGTAGCCGCTATCTTTGTTGGTGGTGAATTTGCATAGCAAGCTGATTAGCCAATGGGAGGTGTAGCGAAGGTGCAGTCAATTACCATGTTTGTCTATTATTAGATAGGATAAGTTATGGACATCTGAAGTACCAAATGGTGAGTGTATATTATATATTATATACTGTATTATATACTTAAATTAGATCTTAAATTATGTCACCATTTCAAAAAAATTTAATTATGTGAGGTGGTGGATGTATTAACCTCAATGAAGCAAGTATTTTGCAATGTTACATATAGCAAATCATCACATTGTACATCTTAAATTTACACAATAAGTTAATTATATATTAATAATGCTGGAAGGTAAAAAAAAATCAAATCCAAAACAATTTTATAAAACAGAACAGAAAGCCATAATACAATATCTAAAATTACTTTTTAAATCATTTTCAAATATAGAAAAATAAATTTAACTGGATTTAAAATATCTCAAAAAAATAAAATAAAAAGGACTTGAAATATCTGAAAAGCAACCCTCATTCAAGACTAGAATAATTTTTCTCAGTCTCAAATCTGGTCACAACAGATTTTTTTTTAAAAAGTACAACATATATTCAATCCTCTGTATCTGTTGGTTTTGAATCTACAAATTTAACCAACCATGATCAAAAACAGTATTTTCAATCAGCTGTATACTTTTTACTATATCATTTTGCATAAGGGACTTATCAATTCTCAGATTTTGTTACCTGTAGAGGGTGCTTGAACCAATCCCCCATGTATACCAAGGGACAACTGTGCTTCCAAATTTTTTATAAATTCTGAAAATTTTACTTTAAAATATCACATATTCTTGGCTATAGAGGTAATGAAGAATGTGAGAAAAATTTAATAATAAGGCATCAAAGCTTAACAAGGTTTATAATCATCAAATTATCAATCTAGAGTTGTCACTAAACAAAGAAATACACTTACCAAATTGAAATATTTATGAGAATCATTTCAGAACAGTGTAACCAGAACATTGCAGCTAGACAAAATCTTCTCTGAAAAGTTGTCATAATCATAGAAATGAAGATGTCATTTAATAATAGAAAAAATAATTCATAATTACTCTTTTAAAATGTTAATAACTTATACTATAGTAATTCAATTTTATTCTAAGTTTCTCTTTGCCACAAGATCAGAGTGCAAAAAAATACAAGCCAAGCTTCTAAAGGTCTCATCACATTGTAACCTGAAATGAATTTAAAACTAAATAAGAATATGGCCTTAAGGCAATCTAAGTATATTTTTCTTAATGCCTATACTGCTTTTTAAATACTTCATCTATGGTTATCTTGATTGAAATGAAAATTTTTTCCAAATAAATAAATTTCCGTATCTAGACATTGAAATGTAAAATATACAAGAAGATAGGAGTGGAAACAGGATAGAAATGTTTGTCTCAGAAGGTATCAATTGGAAAGAGAATAAAGGATATAATGAATTATACTAAGGAAAAGAAAATACCACATAACTGTCAATATGTGACTCAAACTCAAGAAATTTAAAGTAGATAAGAGAACTGAAGAAAAGAAAATGCCTTTTTCACTACAACCTACATATAGAGAAAATATATATGTCTGTATACTTTACCCTTGTCAACAGGGTTTAGTTTAAATAGGATATTTTGAGTAATTATTTCAATCATACACTTATTTTACATCAAAATAAGTATATTTTATACACTCTGGATTGAATGATAACAAGTAATTTTAAACAAGTCATTTTTATTATTCATTTTCCAACCTGCAGGCCACATCTTGGGGTTTCCTTTCATTTCCCTGTTCACAAACCGCCTTCCAAATGACTACCATGTTTTAAAGTATGTAGTTCCAGAATCCCCTAGCCTCTGATAGCTAGCTTAGTTAAGACTTCACTATAGCTGTGGAAGAGGCCGCTCCTTTAGTTCTATATGGTTGACACTCTATATTTCAATAGTACAAACCTATTCAGGAACAGTAGGCAATGGAAAAGGCCCTTCAAATTTTGGATTCTCTTTTAAAGTTACTATTTCCGGAACATCCATTGTTATGGAAGATTGAAATTCAGTAGATACATTCTCTACCAGAGCCTCTTCTGCAGGAGGTGTTTTAGATAGTGGAGTCTGAACTTCCTCAATGGAGTATGTTGGAGAGATATTTGAAATATTGGCCTCTTCAGATGATGCAAGTTTTTTGGCAACAGAGACCATTTCTGAAGTCATTTCTTCAGTTGGTGGAAGATGAAGTTCAGCAGCAATATTTTCAGTTGGGGCCTGCTCAGATGGTGGAGACTTAACTTTCACTAGGGCTTCTTCTGCAGGGACCTTCTCAGCTGGTGGACAATGAACTTTCTCTGGGGCCTCTTCTGAAGGGGCCTCGTCAGTGGGTGGAGCTTGAACGTTAGCTGTAGCCTCTTCTGCAAGGACCTTCTCAGCTGGTGGAGACTGAACTTGCTCTGGGGCCTCTTCTGCAGAAGCCTTCTCAGCCGGCGGAGACTTAACTTTCACTGGGGCCTCTTGTGCAGGGACCTTCTCAGCTGGTGGAGACTTAACTTTCACTGGGGCCTCTTCTGCTGAGGCCTTCTCAGCTGGTGGAGACTTAACTTTCACTGGGGCCTCTTCTGCTGAGGCCTTCTCAGCTGGTGGAGACTTAACTTTCACTGGAGCCTCTTCCCCAGAGGCCGCCTCAGCTGGTGGAGACTTAACTTTCTCTGGGGCCTCTTGTGCAGGGACCTTCTCAGCTGGTGGAGACTTAACTTTCACTGGGGCCTCTTCTGCTGAGCCTTCTCAGCTGGTGGAGACTTAACTTTCACTGGGGCCTCTTCCCCTGAGGCCGC